CCTGAACCCGAGGTTGGAAGTTGAAGGAGGACGCGACAATGGCTACGGAGGAGGAGGGAGGAGGAGGATGAGGAGGAGGAGGAGGAGATTGAGGAGGGTAAGCAAGAGGAGGCGGAGGAGGAGGAGGAGGAGGAGGAGGAGGAGGAGGCGGAGGAGGAGGAGGAGAGGAGGAGGAGGAGGAGGAGGAGGAGGAGGAGAGGAGAGGGGGAGGGGGAGGGGGAGGACGAGGAGGAGGAGGAGGAGGAGGAGGAGGAGGAGGAGGAGGAGGAGGAGGAGGATGGGGAGGAGTGAGGTGGGAGGAGGAGGAGGAGGAGAAGGAGGAGGAGGAGAAGGATGGAGGAGGAGGGGGAGGCCGATTCACAAGGGAAGTCGTCGCCATCGTCCCCCAGATGCAGGCTGCGCGGTGGGGGTCCTCCCGAGGCCAGTCGTGTTCCCGCCGCACAGGCAGATCCTCCAATGGCGTCGAGGGCCTGCCTGCGTGATGGCGGCGCGACCGCTCGTGGACCTGGAAGCTCCAGGTGCTGCTGGGCGGAGGGAGAGAGCCTGTCTGGCTGCGACTGTCAGGAGTGGCGGCCCTGCTTGCTCCAGGTGCTGCTGGTCGGATGACGAGGGCCTAGCCGATCCAATCCGCGCGGGTGCACTGGGGAGCCCCCTGCCTCGGTGTGGCATCCGTGCCCAGCACACAGGTCTGTGATACGGATTGGCGCGGGAGCCGTGGCCCAGGAAAGAACAGGAGGAGGAGGAGGAACAGGAGGAGGAGGAGGAGCCTTTGGTTGGAGTCTTTGTTGGAAGTTTTTTTGGAGTTTTGTTGGAGTGAGATTGGAGCGGAGCTGGAGCGGAGCTGGAGCTGGATCTGGAGCTGGAGGAGGGCGGAAGGAGGAAGGAAGAGGAGGAGGAGGAGGAGGAGGAGAGGGAGGAGGAGGCGGAGGCGGATGGCGGAGCGGAGGCGCGAGGAGGAGGAGGAGGAGGAGGAGGATGAGGAGGAGAGGAGGCGGAGGCGGAGGAGGAGGCGAGGGCGGAGGCGGAGGCGGAGCGGAGGCGGAGGCGGAGGCGGAGGCGGAGGAGGAGGAGGAGGAGAGGTAGGAGGAGGAGGAGGAGGAGGAAGGGGAGGAGGAGGAGGAGGAGGAGGAGGAGGAGGAGGAGGAGGAGGAGGAGGAGGAGGAAGGCCCATCCCCATCCAGACCCCTTGCATCCGTGCACCCCAGTTGGGGAAACACACCTCGAAATCCGAAGGGAACGGCCTACGTCATGTCCCCATCTAGGGGGTCAATCGGCCCCTGGGGCCCGGGCCTATCATGGGGATCGGTGTCGGTGAAACGATGCCCAGCCGCGAGAGAGAGAGGGAAGGAGGGGGGAAGGGAGCGATGAATGTGTGTGTGTGTGTGTGTGTGTGGAAGGGGGTGGTGGTCATGCGTGTCGAAGGACGTTCCACGACGAGTTCAACAGGAGTCTCATCTCGCCCAGCAACGACCGGCTCTTCTTCGAGCCCCTCACGGACGAGGAGAAGGCGGCCTTCGACGTCATCGCTTACGAGCTCGACGCGACGGGGGACGGCGGCCGCGTTGGGGGAGGGGGGCTTGTGCAGCGGCCGCGTGCAACGCGGCGCTTTTTGCTCACGCTTGCGCGCCGCGCGCGGCCCGTCTGCTTGTCAATATGTCTGTCTGTTTGTTTGTTTGCGCTGGGCCGTTTCACCACACGAGACTCGCGGTGTTCCGCGTCATGACCCTCGTCCCCCATGCGCGGCTGGGATCGGCTGGGGCGCGCCCTCGAGGAGTTGCCGGGGGGCGCCTCAGCGACGTCGGAGTCCGAGAGAGAGAGTCTGTCTGTCTTTCTGTCTGTCTGTCTGTCTGTCTGTCTGTCTGTCTGTCTGTCTGTCTGTCTGTCTGTCTGTCTGTCTGTCTGTCTGTCTGTCTGTCTGTCTGGAGGGCGGCGCGCAGCGGTCGCCGCGCCGCTGGGGGCGTCGGCGGGCGATGCCCTCCCCCGTGGGAGGAATCCTGGTACGGTGCGGGGCGCCTCCTGCGGCGGGGCGCCAGCAGCCGCACACAACCTGCTTGCTGGCGCGGGTCTGCCTCGCCTCCTTGCTGTGGCTCCTGCGGTGAGGACAGACTGACTGCCTCCGCGGGTCTGTCTGTCTAACTGTCTGTCCGTGTGTATGCGTGTGTGCTCAGTGTGGATGTGTCTCCCCCTCTCCCCTCTCTCCTCCGCTGCCTCCTTCGCGAGCGATCCGGTCGATCCCCCGTGGGCGGGTCCAATACTTTCACGCCGCCTGATCTGGGCCGGCCGCGCGCGTCTCTTCGCCCGACGTTTCTACGCCGCGCGCGCCGCTGCTCGCATGGGCGCGAGGCCAAGAAGTGTGCGTGTATGTGCGTTTCCCTGCCGCGCATCGCTTACCAGTTGGGCACTGTTGTGCTGTTTCGTTGTTTTTCCCCTTCCTCTTTTTGTCCCCCTCTTCTTCTTTTTGTTACTCCTCCTCATCCTCATTTGTCTCCTTCCTCCTTCGTTTTCCTCTTCCTCATCCCCCTCCCCCTCCTCCTCCTCCTCCTCCTCCTCCTCCTCCTCCTCCTCCTCCTCCTCCTCTTCCTCTTCATCCCCCTCCTCCTCCTCTTCATCCTCCTCCTCCTCCTCCCTCCTCCTCCTCCTCCCTCTGTCCCCTCGCGGCTGTCCCCCCGTCAGTGCCGCTGCCAGGCCCAAGCGCGTGGCGCCGGCGCCCCTCCGCCGCGCGGGTCTGGCCGGGTGCGCGCGCCTTTCGACCCTCTCTGCGCCGCCCCCCCTTCCCTCTGTGCGCGTGGCCGCGATGCCAAAGATGTTCGTGTGTGTGTGTGTGTGTTGTGTTGTGTGTTGTGTGTGTGTTGTGTGTTGTGTGTTGGTGTTGGTGTTTGTGCTGTGTGTGTGTGTGCTTCTGCGCGTTGCTGCCTAGGCCTCCTCGGCGTCGGCAAAAATCACATGGGAGCCGAGTGGGCCTTCACGGTTCCGTCCCTGGCAGCAACCAGCGTCGAGCAGCGTCTGGGAGTCGATGCTATAGGGCCGATTGAGCACCGGCTGGCGTCGACCAGCGTTGATCTAGCGTTGCTCTGTGCCGATCTAGCGTCGACCAGCGTCGATTCGCAGGAACCGACAAGATGGTATTGGAGGCCTCCCATCAGCTGCCACCGAAGAACCCGCCATGATGTCTTACTGCCCAGGATCCCCTGGCGCTCGCTTCCCTGCTAGGCCTTCCCGCCGTCCGCCTCATTCCCACGCTTATGATGTTCGAAAGAGCGTGTTCTACCGCTGCTGGCGGAAAACCAGGGGGGGTCACTACTGGTTCGAACCCCTCCCCCCCCCCTCCGGAAAACCGGGGGGGTCACTACCGGTTCGACCCCCCCCCCCCAGTCCATTATGAAAAAGGGGGGGGGGTCACTACCGGTTCGACCCCCCCCCCCTCCCCCTCCGAAAACCGGGGGGGGGTCACTACCGGTTCGAACCCCCCCCCTCGAAAACCGGTGTGGGGGGGTGCGGACAGAGGTGGGGACGGTCGTGGTGGGGACAGTGGTGAGGGGACAGCGGGACAGTGCTGGGGACACTGGGACAGTGGTGGCGTCGGTAGTGGTGGGGAGAGTGGTGACGACAATGGTGGGAACAGTGGGGACAGTGGGACAGTGGTGGGGACGGTGGTGGTGGGGACAGTGGTGAGGGGACAGTGGGAACGTGGTGGAAACAGTGGGACAGTGGAGGGTACTGTGGTGGTGGGGACAGTGGTGAAGGCGGTGGCGAGGACGGCGGTGGGACAATGGGACAGATGTACAGTGGGGACAGTGGTGGGGACAGTGGGGACAGTGGTGGGAATAGTGGGACAGCTCAGTGGGACAGCGGAGGAGTCAGTGGGACAGTGGGGACAGTGGGGATAGTCGGGCAGTCGTTGGGGCCGTGGAGAAAGTGGGGAGAGTGGAACCGTGGTGGGAACAGTGGCGGGGACAGTGGGGACAGTGCGACAGTGGTGGGGGCACTGGTGGGGACAGTAGGGAAGGTGGTGGAACCAGTGGGGACAGTGGTGGTGAGCGCAGTGGCGCTGGGAACAGCAGTGGAGGATGTGGTGCGGACGGTGGTAAGGGCCCGGGAGTCGTTTGCTGGCGGTGGGAAGGTGTGGGGAGGGGGGTCGAACCGGTAGTGACCCCCCTTACCGGTTTTCGAGGGGGGGGGGGGGGGGTTCGAAAACCGGTTAGTGACCAGACCCCCCCGAGTTTTCGGAGGGGGAGGGGGGGGGGAGGGGTTAGTGGATGGGGGGGGGTGCCGGGGGAGGGGGAGGGGCGGGGGGTCAGCAGGGTGGGGGGATGCGGAGGGGTGGGGGGGGGGACTTCCGGTGCCGGAGGGTCTCTGAGCCGTGGGGGGGTTGTGTTTGGGGCTGGCAAATTCTTGTAAAGTTGCCGTGGATCACGCTCTCTCTGATGTTCCAACCTACCTACTTTAGCCTTATCGCCAGAAAGAACTTCGAGCACCAAGAAAATACCGAACTGCAGGGCTTTCACGTGTCGGGCCCTGGGAGGCGATATTCGTTCGACACTGTTTCGACATTTGTTTGGGTACTGAATGTGTTCCTGGGATGTGGTCTTTCAGTGCGATGGGAACAGCACAACTCTAGGTTTCCTAGAGTCCCAGTAGAGGGGTCGGAGGATCGCGCCGCCTCCGATGCGGTTCGATGTGGGGCCCGATTTGCTTCACGTCGACGTCGCCGATCCATCGCCGACGTCGACGATGCGTCGCCGTTGCATCGCCGATGCATCGCCGACGCATCGACGATGCATCGCCGATGCATCGGCGAGGCGGCGCGATCCTCCGGCCCCATCTGCTCGGACTGCATTTGACTCTCGCTCCCCTTTCATTCGCTGCCCTGACACTCGGCTGGCGTTGTGCTGCTTCGGCTCCCGCGACACTCGCTGCCCTGCTGGTCTTGCCCGCCTCCTGCCCCACGATCTCGTCCGTGACATCGCACGCCACCCCTCGCCCGGCTCTGCGGCCCGCAGGGCCGCCGCCTCCCGCACTGCCGCCCCCCGCGCCCGTTTGGCTTGTTGGACCAGCGCCCGCCCGCGGCCCCGCCGCCCCCGCCCCCCCTCCCCCTCCCCCCAGACGGAGGAGGAGGAGGAGGAGGAGGAGGAGGAGGAGGAGGAGGAGGAAGAGGAGCAGGAGGGAGGAGGAGGAGGAGGAGGCGGAGGAGGAGGAGGAGGAGGAGGAGGGGGAGGAGGAGGAGGAGGAGGAGGAGGAGGAGGAGGAGGAGGAGGAGGAGTGGCCCTTCCATCGCCAAGAGCGATGCGACAGCAGCGGAGTGGGGCCTCCGGTCGCCGAGCGCGGTGCGATGGCGGCTGCTTGCGCGCTTGCAGCTGGCCACCTTCCGTTCCCTTGGCCCGCGCACCACAGTCGGGGGCGGCAACGAGGGGGGTGTTGACTAGGGGGTGTGGCTTTCATGGCGCGGGCCATGAGTTTCCCTCAGATTTCATGGCGCCTCTTCACATTTCGTTACGTCCCTGGCCCCCCGCGGGGCCGCGCACATGCCGCCGGTCATGATTTGCACCCCCCCTCTTGGACACCCCCCTCTTGGCCGCTTCCGACAAAGGTCACTCTTGCCTGGGGTCAGTCCTGCGTGCAGGGTAGGTTCGTGCGGCATTGATGCACTGGTGACGCCAGCGAAGGCGTTCAAAGGTTGAATTCTGCGACGCGGAAGCACCGATGGGCACGGTAGCGACATTGGACCCGATTGGATTCAGCCTTGAACAATCGGGGCCGCGATCGATTCAAGATCGAACGATCGACGCGGTGACAACAACCCTTTGCGCGCGCCGACGCCGCGCGAACCTATCGCAGTCGATCTCCGCCCCCCGCCGCCCCCCGCCCCGCGCGGCGGCCGCTGCTCCGCCACTGCCCTGCCCCTTGCGCCGCGAGGGCCCGGCTGCTCCCGCCTTTGTGCCTGGCCGGCGCGCGCGCGCGGGCCGCGGGACTTGCGGACGCATTGCGGGCAGGTCTCGGGCCGGGCGAAAGGGGGGGAAAGGGGGGGATTGGAAAAGGGTGGGTTACGGAATTTGCTGCATGCAGCTGGTTTCGGCCTCACCGAGGGGCCCATTCCTCGATACATGGCCGCATCCGGCGCCGGGAGGCGCAGGAAACATCAGCTACGTGAGCTGATTCTCAAACCCCCCCTTTGCTATCCCCCCCTTTCGCCCGACCCGTGACTTGCGGACGCCTTGCGGGCAGGTCCATCAAGCAGTGACGGAGCGTCCAGGCGTGCCTATAGGCTCACCAAATAATCTCTGGTGGTTTCTGCGCAATCTTCTTCGAACAGTTCTGGCCGATCTTGTCTTGTTTTAACCCATCGGGCGAATGTTCTTAGACCATGTTTGGATTTTAAGCACATGTCATGGTAGGCCTATAGAAATGCCGGGACGGTTGGTCCCTGCTCAAGTCCAGGCCGCGACGACCGAAGAGAGTGCGTGTTCAGAAGAGGAAAAGAAGTAATTACCCATCGCCCGTTTTCCCCTTTTTGGGCCTCCCGGTAAGCCCTCGTCGCCACCGCTGGATTCGCCTCGAAACTCTGGTCAGAACGCACCCCGGGAGAGGTCCCGGGCCTAGCGGTACCAGTACCTTGTGGTTTTTCCAGTGTGTGTGTGTGTGTGTGAGTGAGTCGAACTCTTCCACCTCTGAGTAGCCTTTTCTTCTCCCCCCCTCCGCGTAAGAACACTTGGGCTCGAGTAGCTACAACTGCTCACATCACTCGCATCATATTTCTCATCCTTGGTGGCCAGTGCAGGGACGACTGTACTGTCAGAGCGAATGGAGTTGGCAAAATCCATGCTTTCGGGTGCACGCAAGTCCGAGGGCAGCTGTGGCGAGTCCCCACAAGACAAAACACAGAAACAGGATATGACGTTTGAGGAAACGTTTGATAAGATGTATGACGCCATGATGTCGATGCAGAGGGACATGCCGCAGGTCAAATTCGATGCCCGGATGGCTAAAGAGACAGCGGATCAAGCATTGCAGAAGGTCAACGACATGCAGAAAAACATCACACACATGAAAGAGAAAAATATCGAATTTGACACAGAAATCAAAGAGCTCCGGAAGTCCTTGGAGCCAGGAGGAGCACGCCAGCCTCCGGAGGCCAAGAAGGCGGATATGCAGGACATCGTCAGGGAATTGTAGGGTATTGCAGTTGGATTAAAGGAGGCGGAGGACGAGGAGGATGTCATCCGGCAGGTGAAGAAGGTGGTGGAGGAGGTGGGGGCAGGAAACAAGTACACCGACATGTTCGTGTTCAAGGACCCCTCGAAAATCGGAGTCGGGCAGTTCAAATCGATCGCAGCGAAGATAGGCTTTCTGAAAAAATCAAACAGTACCAAATATCAGTGGGAGGGTGGGTCTGACATGCGCTTCAAAAGCAATGACAGTATGGCAAACCGGATCGTCCACAAAGAACTTGGGAAAATCAAAAGCTTTCTGCACGACAAAGGCAGGGGCCACATGCTCGAGGACATTGTGATTAAGTGGAAAGAGCGGGTGGTGGAGCTGCAGGGGAAGAGGGTGGCGTGGGAGGAGGAGGAGGGCAAGGGCATCAAGTACGAGGGGGAGGGGATGAAGGTCCAGGAGTCCGTGCTGGCTTTCATGAAGGAGTGGGTCTCCAAGCGGGCCGGCTTTCAAGACGACGATTTGTGACCCGGCCTCCGGAAAGGCTTCCGCAGTACCAGTGCGAGACCCGGCCACCAAGGAACGAGGGAGGGGCATTCGCAGTCACACGAACGCGGAGGCGCAGAGGGAATCAATATTTCCATGCTCATCTGGAGGTGGCTGGGGGGCACACAAAATAACGAGTGGTGATTTCCCAGTGGCAGCGCTGCGCGGCGTACAGACGCAGCCGGATACTCCCACAGAGTGCTCACAAGGAATATGTGTAATCACATGGAATGTTGCTGGCATGACTGACGAGGGATTCCGCGATTGTCTTCAGAATGCTCACGCGCTGAATCGGAGATGGGATGCAATACTAATTCAAGAAGGGCCGACAAGCGCTACCACAACAGTTGAAATTGTGGAATGTGGTCATTTGTGGTGCGTTGGGGCATGCGCGGGGAGGAATCGAAGCGTGACTGTTTTGATGCATAAGTTCTTTGGCGGATGGATTCGAAGATTTTCACGTTGCGCCGGACGGACGGGCAGCATATGTCGACATTTCTGGTGCGATGGGAACGTGGAGATTTATAACAAGTCATCTCCATAGAGGCCTCCCAGATGCCGAATCTGAAGCTGCTTTGGCGAGCGCGGCTGCGATCCTTCCTTCTTGCAAACGAGTTCGAAGCACCGTGATTGGCATCGACGCTAATGCACAACTCGGTCAGCAGACAGATTCGGACCACCCGGGAAGTCTGGGGAAGTTCGGATACGGCCATCGGAATCATAGAGGGCAGATTTTCTTGGAATGGGCCCGTGATCGTTATTTGTCTATTTGAACACGTTTTCCAGAAATCTCCCGACAAATTTTGGGCCCACAAGATGTGGAGCACAGGGGATGTGAGGCAGATTGGTTACGTTTTTGTTGATACCGTGCTGAGCGGCTGCATGAAGACCGCGACCGTCATCGAAGAGCTATTGCAACAAACTGATCACACGGCTGTCTGGGCAGCAGTTGCGGTTGCAAAGCGCCGGCACCGAAGATGGCAGCCACCGAAAGTGGGTAAAGGCTGGGCTATCACTACCAGCGCAGAGCAATTTCAACAAGCCCAGGAGGAAGTCATCCAACATAATCCCACGTGCTCATTGGAGGATGTCACGAATATGCTGGGACAGGTCGCGGGCAACCACGGCCAACTTCCAAAGCGGGACAAGGGCCGAGGCACTTCTACCCGAGTCAAGGAGCTCCGGCAAACGAGGAACAGGGCGACGACGAGAGAATATCGAAAGGAAACGACTATTTTACTGCTTCTGGAGCCTCGCAACGAGTCCAGGAAGAGAACCATTTAGAAACTTGACGACATGATTGCAAAAGGATATGCACAACATTTGTCTCGAGTTCAAGCTGCGCCGAAAGTGAAGCAGCACATAGCCGGAGTACAGGATGCAGATGGCCATTTGCGCACAAGCAGAGTTGGAATAGCATCCGTTTTTGCAGTTTTCTACAGGAGTCTTTACAAGGCTCCGGTCGAGCACCCAGTGCCGATGCCGTTTGGGAGCCGGGCGCTCCCTGACGAAATTTTGCATGACGTGCAGTTGGTAATCATATACACATATATATATATATATTCGTCTTTATATATATACACATATTATATATATATATATATATCTATATATATATATAAACAAAAAAACTAAATTTGTGCCGACGACGGGATTGTAGCAGAGATTCTTAAAGAGAGCGCCCCAGAGGTGGTGGAGATCATCGCTGCACTGTTTCGTGATTTGATCACAGGAGAGGCACGTGTACCTGACGCCAGGACAAAATCCAAGATCGTCTTGTTGTTCAAGAAAGGGAAAGCCCAATCACCCAAAAATTACCGCCCGATTGCCACACTTCCTGTCTTGAGCATGATGTACAGCGGTGTCCTGTTGAAGCAAATCCACAGAGTGCTGGACAAACAGCACGCGCCAGAGGAAATGGGTTTCAGGAAAAGGGCATGGGCGTTCTGACTTAGTCCACAGCTTGCGCATGATCAGCGAAAAGAGCATCGAATGGGGGGAAACAGTATGGATCGCGTCGCTGGACTTGGAGAAAGCCTTCGACCAGGTGGTTCACTCTGCCGTTTTTGCCGGACTACGGCGTGCCGGGGTCAACAAGCATGACATCATTGCAATGCAGCGCAAGATTTGTATGCTAAGCAACGAGCCAACATCCAGCTGGACGCATCTTTCCGGAGCGAGTATTTCGAGATCTTACGCGGTGTGCGACAAGGAGACCCGCTTTCCCCATCGTTATTCATGAACACAGTCCGGGTCGCCATGGCTGGGCTGAAAGAGCAATGGGAAAGGAAGGGATTTGGAACGATAGTCGGCAGTAACGTCTTGGGCATAGACCGCATGACGTACGGTATTATCGCCGACGACACGACCCTGATTGCCAAGTCTCGAAAAGCTTTTGTTTCAATGCTCAAGTCGATCAACGCAGAGCTTGGGAAGACCGGTTTAAAAATGAATGCGGACAAATGCAGCGTACAATGCGCCGGACAGACACACACTTCTGGCAAAAGCGTCAAAACAGGGGATCTCGCACTCCCAATGGTTGACTGTAACACTGGCTTCAAAATGTTGGGGACTATGATTGGTATGGACGGCACTACCAATGCGGAGTTTGAGAACCGCTTGAGAGCGGCTTGGAAGAAATTTCATTCGCTTAAAGGTGCTTTACAAACAAAGGAAGCTTCCCTATTTCGCAGACTCAGGCTCTTCGACGCAACAGTGACCAAGACAGCGTTGTGGTGCTGCGAATCATGGAAACTCACGGTTGCTCAAAAACGCAAGCTTCGCAGTACCGAGGGGGCCATGCTCAGGCGCATCGCCGGCCCCGGGCGGTACCCGGAAGAGGACTACGTTCTTTGGATTCAAATGGGCTACTCGCGTAGCAGAAACGAAGGCCAGGCAGGCAAACGTTGAATGTTGGCTCCAGAAACAACTGCTATGCAAATGGGCGTGGGCAGGCCGCCCGGCAATCATAGAGCAATCGCGATGGGCCAGGAAGATTACAATGTGGAGAGACAGTGCTTGGTGGCACGACCAGGCCCAGACATCGCGAACAAGGCCCATGAGGAGTAGACCAGGCCGTTTTTCTCGATGGGAAGATGACATGCGCCGTTTTGCGGAATTCAAAGGTTTGCCCTCTTGGCAAGAGTCCGCTCGCAAGCAGGATCTGTGGCAGGATTTAGCACAGGATTTTATTACTTACACTTGGCGTTACACATTGCATGCCCTTGTTTCACCGAATTGTCATTGCACTGTTTTCTCCCACGCTGTGAACGACAGGTCCTCGTTCGAGGGCCAGCGTGCCTTGCACGCCTGCCCGCCGTGACGGCGCCGCCTCCCGGGGCGATGGCAGCTGTGTGTGTCTCCCCCCTTCCGCGGTCGCCGTCTGCCCTCGTCCCGCTCTTGCACGCTGGCCAAGTCGCCTTGCGGTGACACCTTCTAGCTCTAGCGCTGGCGCAGTCAACTTTGCCTCGCCGCCGAGGGAGGAGGTGCGTGTGAGTCGCCCCCCCGTCGCTCCAAGCGCTCAGCCCGGGGCCCCGCCCACCTCCCCGCAGCTCCGCGCTGCTGGCTGCTTCCCCGCCCCGTCTTCTTCTATTCAACCTTGGGACTCTGTGAGGTGTTTCCGCTCTCCGTCGCCCTCCTCGTCCTCTTCTTCGCCCCTCCGCTGCCAAGGTGCGGCTGATAGGCGTGGCCGCCTCGACCGTCGCGCGCGCATGCTAGCGCCGGACGGTCAGAAAGGGGCACGGCGCGCTCGCAGTTTTCCCCCTCTCCCTCCCCCTCCCTCCCTGCCTACAAGCACGCCTACAGGCACCCCATGCCTATAGGCATTCCTCCACTGCCGCCCCCCCCCATCTTTGCCTACAGGCGCGCCTACAGGTCCTCCCCCGCTCCCTGCTTACAGGCACGCCTACAGGCCCTCCTTGCCTATAGGCCCTCCCCCCCCTCTCTCCCTCCTCCTTCCTCCCTGCCTACAGGCGCCTGCAGGCCCTCCTCGCCTACAGGCGCGACAACAGGCCCTCCCTGCCTAAAGGCACCCGCGCTCCCCAACGGCAGCGCCTACAGGCGCTACCTGCGGGGCCTTCCCGGCTGCGACGACCCATAGGGCCTATAGGTCGCGGGCGCTCGCAGAAGGGAGGAGCGCCGCGTACACGCGGGAACCAACCCAATGGGTCACAGTCCAATGGGTCCTCCTTCCTCCTCCCTCCTCCTTCCTCCTCCTTCCTCCTCCTTCCTCCTCCTCCTCCTCCTCCTCCTCCTCCTCCTCCTCCTCCTCCTCCTCCTCCTCCTCCTCCTCCTCCTCCTCCCTTTGGGACCCCTCTCCCTGGCCTGCGGCTGGCTTCCCGGTCCTTGCCCCGCGCCCCGTCTTGTGCCCGCCGCCGGGCCCCGCCGTCTTTCCGTGCCTCCGGGCGTGGCGCAGCGGACGTCGGGGTGCCCACGCTGCCCTCGTGAAGGTGTGCGACCGATCTGGCGCGGCCCTGCATCGGAGGGCCCGGCCGCGACCGCCAAACGTATGTGCGTGTGTGCGCGTGTGCGTGTGTGCGCGTGTGCGCGTGTGCGTGTGTGCGTGTGTGTGTGCGTGTGTGCGCGTGTGTGTTTGTGTGTGTGTGTGTGTGCGTGTGTCTGTGTGTGTGTGCGTGTGTGTGTGTGTGTGCGTGTGTGTGTGTGCGTGCGTGCGTGCGTGCGTGCGTGCGTGCGTGCGTGCGTGCGTGTGTGTGTGTGTGTGCGTGTGTGTGTGTGTGTGCGTGTGTGCGCGTGTGCGCGTGTGTGTGAGTGCGTCTTTTCGTCCCTTCTCGACCTTGCCTCCGTTGCGCCACTGCGCGCGGGGCCACGTCGCCAAGCATGTGTGTGTGTGATGTGTGTGTGTGTGTGTTGTGTGTGGGTGCGTGTGCGTGCGTGCGTGTGTGTGTGTGTGTGCGTTTGTGCGCGTTTATGTGTGAGTTCGCCCGCCGGCGTGTTGCTAACGCTAGCATGCATGGGCGACCGGGCAAGGACTTCAAGGGGTACGCCCAGAGCTTGTACATGGACGCCGATCTCATGGCGAAGGCTAAACAGGGCTCGAAACCCCTGCCCGTCGGTGAGGATGGCAGGTCGCAAACGTTGACTCTTCCAGTTGCCGCCCCTCCCCGAAGTGCAGACGCAGATCCAGAGCCTACTCGCAAACGTCCAGAAACATGTCGTGGTCATGTTCGATGCAATGGAGCTTGTTTGCCTCGATGCAGACTTTGCGAATAGTGGAACGCGCTTGTCTCGCGAAGGCAGGCGCGCCGTGGAGCTTCCCCGGGGGGGGGGGGGGGGCGCGGGGTCTGCGCGAGAAGGGGGAGCTGCCGAAAAGTGCGGAGAGACCCTCGCACACTTTCTGTTGCCTCGGCGGCGGGGCAGGTACAGTGGAGGCCCATGCCAAGAAGCACCCTGCTTGCCGCCATGGTGCCCCGGGCTTCTTTGGCTTCGAGCGCGACGGAGCTCCATGGAGAGCGCGACGTCGCCCTCGCGCCAGAACTCCGTGGACGTCCTGGGGTGTCGGGGTTGGGCTCCTTGTGGAAGGTATCCGGTGGGCTGGCCTCCACTGCACTGCGCCAGTGAGCGGAGCATCCGGGGCGACCGAGGCGCGGCTCGGCCGGCGTGCGAGAGGGGGAACACTGAGGTTGAGTCGGGCCTGTCCCCCTACAGGGGGATTTCCGACGGGGAGTAGTAAAGACGTTCAAAAATAGTCAAGACATGGTCCAAACACAGTTTGGGGGACTATCGTTTTAGTATTCTTTTAGCTCTGGGGTGTATTTTTGGGGCATTTGTATCTTTCGTCGAGCATCCTCCTGTATGGGGACGGGTCCGACAGAAGGCAAGAGGGGGAGCACTATCAGGGGGGAGGAGGCGGCCGCGGAGGACAGGAGGAGAGGGAGGGCAGATGTCGAGCAGCCGCGAAGCGTCCTGGTTTGGCTATAGGCCTACCCAAAGATGTTCTGAGAGCCTGTCGTGGTCTGCACGAGTCGGGGGCGGAAAAGAGGGGGGTGATGACTAGGGGTGTGTGGATATCATGGCGGGGGCCATGATATTTCCCCAGATTTCATGGCGCCCCTTCTTATTTCATTACGTCCCTGGCCCCCCCGCTGGGCCGCGCGCATGCCGCCGGTCATGATTTGCAACCCCCCTCTTGGACACCCCCCTCTTGGCCGCTCCCGAACGAGATGTTCTCAGAACACTTCTGGCTGGGACTGTCTTGTTTGAACACCTCGGGCTTCTGTTCCAAGAGCATGTTCGGGGGGTTGAGAAGTGTTTGGCTGGGTTCTAAGAACTTTCGTGGTAGGCCTCTACGAGTGCCGGGAGGGTCGGTCCCTGCTCCAAAATGGGCTCCCCTCCCCACACGCGGACGCGCCCTTCCTTTCTCGGCCAGCGGGCGGCACCCCCGAGGGGCGCAACGGTCGGCGCGAGGGGTGCAGCCCACCTGCGCCGGGGCGGGCGGCCTGCGGGCTCTCGCTGCAGCCAGCCCGCACGGCAAGGGGGCGCAAAGTTCGGCGGCGAGCGAGGGGGGGGAGAGGAGAAGGAGAAGGCCTTCTCTCGGGCCGGACGAAGTTGGGGGATTGGGAAAGGGAAAGGGGGGATTGGGAAAGGGGAGAGGAGAAGGAAAAGGTCTTCTGTCGGCTACACGTAAGAGTGACCTTTCGCCGGAGTGACCTTTGGTGCGGGCCCAACGGGGTCCCCCGATCGCCGAAGGCGATGCGGTAGCAGCGCTTTGCGCGCTCGTGGTTAGTCCCCCCGCGGCCCCCAAAAAGCCGCGCACCAAGGGTCACTCTTACCTAGGGTCACTCTTGCGTGTAGTCGATTCTCTCGGGCCGGACGAAAAGGGGGGATTGGGAAAGGGGGGTTACGAAATCTGCTGCATGCAGCTGCTTTTGCCCCACTGAGGGGCCCATGTGCCTCGGTACATGGCCGCCTCCCGGCGCCATGGGGCGCCTGGAGAATCAGCTATATACGTGAGCTGATTCTCGAACCCCCCCTTTGCTATCCCACCCTTTCGCCCGACCCGATTCTCGGAAGGCGGCTGGACTTCTCAGAAGCCCTCGCGCCTTCTGAGAGGTTCTGGTGTCTTCGGGGAAGGCTCAGAACACTTCTCAGAAGTCCGGGGGACTTCCGAGCCTTGCGAGAAGGCCCGCCCCTTCTCACTGCCCCCGGACGCGCCGCCTAAATTTTCCCAAGGGTACCCTTGCATCCCTTGCCTCCTCGGTCCATCCTTGGCCGCTTTCGCTGGCCGCGCCCCGCTCGAAGAGCTTGGAAACCACCTTTCCAGGCCCTTGCATCCTTCTCGTGTGTCTTTCTGATACGGGTCGACTGCCTGGGACCACCACATGGTGGAGCTTTCTGAGGGGCACGATCCGTGCGAGGTGTGTGCCGAGATGGGTGGGGAACGCGATGATGCCCCCTGGGGCCGTATGCGGAGCTACGGCTTTTTATCGGGGTGTGATGCCAGGACCTCCGACGTCGTGATTTCTTCCTTGCACCACCCCCCCTTCCCTGGGGATCCCGACCCTTTCACTGATACCGGTGTCTTGTCTCGGATCGCCTGGTCCTAGGCCCCGCAAGCGACCACTGGAGACCGGCAATATTGAAAACATATCCGTGTTGATATTCGTCAGTTTCTGTCGGTGGCGGGGATGAAAGGACCGTTTTAGCCAGGTAGGATGCAAACAGACACATATTTCACCGTGTATGTACAAAGTATGTGGTCTTGACATCGCTTGGACGCGTACATTTTTTCTGGCAAGGCCAGGGCCAGACAGTCTCGTAGCCTCTCGGGACAGAAAGTACACGCGCGAAACCAGACAGTGCACAGGGAATGGACGTCTGAGCGATGGCGAGGTGGTGCAAGCTATGTGGTGTAAGCTGTGTGGCGCAGTACACGTGGAGAAACTAGAAGTGGCCACCAGGCGACAACGTGACGGAACATCGCCGGACCTACCCGGCGGACAAGGCGGCAACGAGGCAGCATTGGGCGGCAACGCACAACCATCGGGACAACTGGCGGGACAGCCGGGAGCAAGCGGGAGCAGCAGGGGGTGTCACGATGCGGACCCCAGGGCTAGCCTTACGATGTTGCCCTGACCAGGGGTGTCACGATGTTGCCCTGACCTGGCTCAACGTAGACCAGGAAGTCGCGCAGTTTCGCCTCGCCCGCACTCGCGACGCGAATGAAGCGAAACGACTTCCTGGTTTGGCACCTCACATGTCACTTCGGTCTCTCCCCAATCTCCAGTAATTCCCTCACGCTAGAAATCACCCTTGCAGGGATTTCTTGTTCTTGTGATCGAAAGAGTTCTCCGTGGTGCGCCAGAGTGAAGGGTGCTCCGCTGGGACGTCTTTCCTGAGCAGGTGCCCGACCACAAGAAGAGTTGCGTCGCGGCGTTCAAGAACGACGCCTGCGAGGCCCCCTTGTGCGGCCAGCTCCTCTTCGCGTACGAGTGGTTGGCGAAGGACCCCGACATGATTATTCCTCCTTCTCCGTCCTTCCTTCTGTACCTCCGTTCTCCCGCTGCCGCCCTCCTCCTGCCCGAACTACATGAGGAGGAGGAGGAGGAGGTGGAGGAGGAGCGCCATGGTCGTCTTTAAAATGCACTGGATAGCTTTTTGACCACACCTGCCTCCCTGAAGAGCACTGCGAAAGCAGAACGTACGAGAAGCGCGCTTTTCTTGTTGTGACTGGCCTTCAGTGGGCAGACTGCCACAGCAATGACTGATGCTCAAAGCAGGTAGATCATCATGACTCGCAGAGCCAAGCATGGATGCCCACTCTGGCTCCTCTGTTCAACAAATGATCGAGCGATTTTTCGGCTGGTCGAACCTTCTTGGGGGCGCACGGGTCTGGGCCGCAATCTGCACAGCTCATCAACTAAAGGCCGTATTGTAGTGGCCTCCGGCCAGTGCCGCCGATCCGGGGCGTTCCGCAATATGATGAGCAAGGGAGAGGGGTGGTCCGCTCTGAAGGGGGGGGGGCTGCAGGAGGGGAAGTCTGCTCTGCAGGGGGGGGTGCAGGGGAGGGGGGGGTCCGCGCTGCAGGGGGGGGGGGGGGCTGCGCGGGGGCGGCGGTCCGTCTGCAGCGAGGGGGAGCGGCTGGCTGCATGGGGGGGGGGAGGCGTTATCCGCTCTGCAGAGGGGCTTCCGCACGGGCGGGGTCAAGGGGCGGAGGGGGGGATCAGTCTGCAGGGGGGGAGGGGGGGGGCTGCAGGGGAGGAGGTCCGACTCTGACAGGGGGGGGGTGTCCGCAGGGGGGGGGGGGGTGCAGGGGGGGGGCTCGCTCTGCGTGGGGCGGGAGGCTGCAGGGGCGGGGTCCCAGCTCTGCAGGCAGGGGGGGGGGGCGGGGGGCTGGGCTGCAGGAAGGGGGAGGGGGCGTTCTGCAGGGAGATGAGGGGTTGCCGCTCTGGGAGGGCGGGGGGACGGCGAAGCACTGAATTAGGTCGGAATTAGGTCGGAAATGAGGTCCCCCCCACCCCCCCGTGCGAAGCACTGAATTAGGTCGGAATTAGGTCGGAAATGAGGTCCCTCCCCCCCGCAGAGCGAGGCTTGAGCGAGCTCAAGCCCACGCTCTCAGAAACTCACACGCCGGATCGGCGGATTTCACCAAGCGCCCATCGTATCCTACGACGGTTGAAACGCATCCCCCAGAGTTTTTCAAAAGACGTTTCAAACGTCCCCGCTTGACATGCGCCTCGAAAGACCCACACAGTCCACCAGGAGAGACGACGGAGAAGCCACATCTACACTGATGTTGACGCCGAACTTTTATTATTTACAGTGTTTGCCCACGGACACATACTTCAGCCGCAAGTTCACCTTCCGTTGATTTCCCCAGACGCTGCTCACCAGCACTTTGGCGACCAGTTGGCGCAGGCTCAATTTGCCTGAGGACAAACTAAAGCAACCAGTACCCCCAGAGCAGACTCACGCTTTTAAGCGGTACGGGGGAGCCATCAGTCATGTACATGCCGGTCTTTTTTATCGGCTCACCAATGCCAAGCTCCAGTCATTACGACGCATGTGGCGATGCATGCTGCACCCCTAGGCGTCGAGCCAACCCCAATAGCACTGTTAGCGAAGCCGCGAGCATTGTCCGTGCCGTGGCGCGCGTCGACAGCGGACGCACGATCGCATGGACGCCCGAAATGGGTACGGAAAGAATGGGTACGATGCCCAACAGCAGTTCTTGTTCATTTTGAACAGGACTCGGTGTCCGTGCCGCCACGGCCTGTGTCCATCTGAGACAGAAGGCCGCCTGCCCAACAGCGGCCGGTGTCGGTTTGGGACAACATTTGTTGTTGGGCATTGTACCCAATCTTTCCGTACCCATTTCGGGCGTCCAAACCAACGACAGGCAGAGGTTCGAGCGGGTCCACGACAGATGGACTCCAGACGACAACCTGGCGTCGTTGCCCCTTGTTCCGACCTCGAGTTTTGGCCTCCCAGATGGGGTCGGAGTAGATGGGATCGGTGGATCGCGCCGCATCGCCGATGCATCGACGATGCGGCTCGATGTGGAGCCCGATTTTGTCCACCCCACGTCGCCGATGCATCGCCCACGTCGACGATGCATCGCCCGTTCATCGCCGATGCATCGCCGATGTATCGCCGATGCGGCGCGATCCTCCGACCCCATCCACTCGGACCCCATCTAGGAGGCCTCTAGCTTGTCCGCAGAAGTGCACACGTCAACAGCGCTTGTAAGAAAGACCCACACGAATGATCGGACGACGGCTTACCCACAATGCCAACTGCAGGGCGAGAATCATCACAGCCGTGACCGCACAGTGACTGGGCCCGACTTTCAGTGATGTCGAAGCCCGGCGTGCACGTCCACTCACACGGAGACCAGCGGAAGCGATGTGACGATGATGCCAAAAGAGCTCTTGCCTACGACGCGTTTGGGATGAATGCGTACGCCCTTCGAGGCAGATTGTTCCGAATGGCGGACTGCGCCGGCTGAGAACAGCATGTCATAGCATGGCTTAGAATTAGCGATCCTGCGTAGCTTCCTTTTTGCGCTTCGACTGCCTTTGCGAAAGAGCTCAGTCAGAGTTTCGCAGGCATCTGGCCGTGCCAGAGAACCGTCGCTACGGCACGATTGCTTCCAAGCGCCTCCCTCCCTCTCCCAGCTCCTCCTCGCCCCTTCCTGTTCTCGAACTCCTCCCAAGACTCGGGAAGCTATGCACCTTGGCGAGATGTTCCTGCGTGCGGTTACGCAGAGGGTGAGGGTGAGGAGTACATGACAAGATGGATGAGCAAGGGAGGAATGAGGCGGAGGAGGACCGACTTGGTCCCGTGAGATGGTCGCCTATACACGAGTCGACCACCAGAGGCTTCACACCCCTGGCAACCACTTGTTCGCTGTTGAGTCTCCAGTGCTCCGTAGAGCTGGGTGCCGGTACGATCCGGCAAAGTCAGCAGAGCCTGGCAGCGCCCTTCCTCCCCCTCCCCATGCTCATCCCCTTTCCGCTCCCATTTCCCAGCGCCGTTCCCCGCCCCATGCCATTTCTTCTCCCTTCTCCTCCCTCCTCGCTGTCCCGTCCCCGTCGTCCCCCCTCTCCTGCCCCCCCCCCCTCCCCACCCCGACGACGCCTCCTCTCCCCCTCCCCGTTCCCCACCCTTTCATTATTGTCCATCCTCGCCGTCTCCGTCCCCGCTCTCATCCTTCTCTCGGGCCGGACGAAAGGGGGGGATAGGGAAAGGGGGGGGTACGGAATCTGCTGCATGCATCTGGTTCCGGCCCCACCGAGGGGCACATGCCTTGATACATGGCCGCCTCCCGGCGCCGGGAGGCGCCGGGAAAATCAGCTGCGTGAGCTGATTCTCAACCCCCCCCTTTGCTATCCCTCCCTTTCGCCCAGCCCGATTCTCTTGCAGCCCACCCCCGGACGACGACCACAAGGACGAGCACGACCACGGCCACGACCACGAGGGCAGCGACGACCACGCGGGATGGCCATGTGGTGGAGCATGAGCCAGGCGGGGAAAAAGCACACAGACGCAATGAATCGTCGACTCCCAGGAAAATATGGGGAAATATGGGAAGTGGGGGGGAAGACAAAAACGAATCAAATATAGGAAAATGAGGGGAATCCGGTTATTTGTGTGTATTTATTTGTGTGTCCCAGGGCCCCTTCACATGAGATGGAGCATGAGCCAGGCGGGGGGGGGGAGGATGGCGGCCGCCACGAGGACGTCGCCGTGAACGGCGTGGGGCTCCTGGGTTGCCAGTTGCATTTCATCCCCCCCTTTCCCTCGGTCGCAAACCATGGGGGCCTCGTGTACTCGCACAGGTCTGTCGTTAGCGCCAACTAGCGTCGATTAGGAGTCGATGAACTGTGCCGGTTCAGCGTCGGTTAGCGTCGACTGGCGTCTATTCAGCGTAGGTTTAGCGTCGACTTGCGTTGGCGAGCGTCGATGAACATCAATCCGCAAGAGCCAGGAAGATGGTATGGGAGGCTCCCACGAGTTGCCACCGAGCTTTCCACCCCCTCTCCCTTTTTGGTCGCACTTGTAGCCAGGATCACAGCCACAGGGGCTGCGAATGTGACTTCGATGGCGTCACAGTTTCGACGCCCAGTGCTTGGCGCCCTCACCTCCCGACCTCTCCGCGGCGCTGTGTGACCGATGTATCCCTCAGCGCGTGTGGGCCCCAGGAGGCTGCACGACGAGCAGGCCCTCGCGCGCCCGCTGCCTCGCGCGAGCCGTGGGCCCCCCACCCCCCGACCGGGAAAACGGCGCAGGCGAGGCGTGCCCGCGGCTTCAGGGGCGCGCCTTCTTGTCAAGCCGTGGCGAGGCGTCCTGGCGTGCCTGCAGGCCCACCGAACAATGTTCGAATGGCATTTTTGGGAAACGAAAAACGAAACGTTCTTAAAACAGTTTTGGCCAGGACTGTGTAGCTTCAGTTCAACGGGCCCGTGTACCAAGAGCGTTTTATCTTGTTCTTGGAATACTCTCGGGAAGCCATGCCGTGATAGGCCTAGAGGAATGCAGGGACGGTCGGTCCCTGCCGACTTCCTGGTGCGGAAGACAGCGTGACAGACGGCGGGTGCAATTCAATAGTGAACATTGGTCCCACTGGCCCAGGGCGGACTTGCGGCGAGTCGAGCCCGGGCCAGTTCCAGATCGAAGAACGATGGCCTGTGTGTTTTGGTGGTTTTAGCTGGACCTCTAAGGATCGCGTCGACGAGGCGGGGTGCAACCATTGCGATCGATGCAATTTCCGCTTGCCCAGCCTTGTAGGACATCGCACAATCACATCTGACTCAGGGCCTCGTGCTGCTGCTGGCTAGCCATGGCAAAACCGCGAAAGAGGGTGTGGACAGAGTGCAGCTGGCAATTCTGGAGCAGGCGCGCCCTGGACTGGCAAAGCCGAATTTGGCCCACCGCCAGCACGTTCACTTTGAGAGATTTGGGAGACAACGGCTCGGGAACCCAGGAACACCACTATCGCACGCGAGAGACACAGGAATCATCTCACGCGAATCGGGCAAGAGGAGAAAGGGATCCTAGAAACGCTGACTGACAACAGGGAGGCAGAAGAACACACGCAGCATGAAGTCGAGAAGAGCGCGCTCGCGGCAGGAGTAAGACATATGACCCTACAGAAAAGCAAAGACATGAAGGGCGAGAGAGTTCCAGGATTCCCAGAGGAGGACTTCGAACACTTCACTGATCAGTTCCAAGGCGAAAGAGCAGCTCAAGCACAGTAAGCAGGATAACCAAGCGACGGATTCACCGGATGAGCAGCCATTCGCAAGGTTCGACTCCACCAACACGGGCACCTGGAACAGTATCTGCAGCAGGCCAAAACGGCGCGTGAACGGCAGCGCGCAGCCAAGCCATGTGGCGCCGCGGCCCCTGACGACCAGCCTCCGACCGCCAAAGTTGGAGGGTAGCGTGGCGAGCGCTGTGCGAGGTGCGAACTTGCCGACCCGATTGCCGACGATGGAGTTTGCTTTCGTATTTTCGTGCCGCGTATTGCACGATACGGCTCTCCGGCCATGCGTTTGTTCACGCAGTCGATGCGCGACGTCTCGGGGCTCTTGGGGCACCGCCTCGGCGAGGCGAAGGCGGAATGCGACGCGCCGAGGTTCCAGCGGCAAGTTGGGCATCCCAGCGCACCTCGATGCCATCATCGGACCAGATCGGTCGAAATCTTGCACGCGTGCTGGTGCGCGGCGTCCGCGGCGATCCTGCCTCCAGGCAAAGGCGCGCCTGCCCGCGTCCAGTGGGCGCAGCGCATTCGAGAAATATCCGCGCGACACAGCGGCGGCCCATGGGCGCCTCAAGGGAGGCATCCACATCTTGTGCCATCTTGGCACACTGTGGCAGTAGCCGAGGCCTTGCGGGTGCAAGCGATTCGAAGCTTAAGCAGTTGGCGCAGTCAGCGGCAGGTATGACAAAATCCGAAGATGGCAGTTGGAGGTAGGAACGTCGCGCCTGAAGAACATCTCACACCACCATGGGCGGAGAGGATGAA